TGTTAACATGAAATTCATCTGAGATGAGATTTGAAGGTTTGATGATTAAATAGCAATGAAGGTTAGCTTTAAAAAATAAATTAAAGGGCCTCCCTGGTGGCATAAGGGTTAAGACACAACCTATGAAGTCATCCCCAGCCACTGCTGCATGAGTTCGATCCCCAGCCAGGGAGCTACCCACATGGTGTAGCAGACCTCTCCTAACTCACCTGCTGCTCCCCTCAGCAGTGTACTTCAGTCAATCTGCCTGTTCTGTTTCCCACTCTGTCTCTGGTGAATCCTCTCCCCCCACCCCACACCTCTGGCCTATATCCCAGTTTTTGTATGCATAAAAATAAATCTTTAAAAAAAAATAAATGCAGCAATTCCACTCCTAGGGATCTACCCAAAGGACGCAAAAACACTGATTCAAAAGAACACCTGCACCCCTATGTTTATTGCGGCACTACTTACAATAGGTAAAACCTGGAAAACAACCCAAATATCCAAAAATAGATGATTGGATCAGGAAGATGTGGTACATATACACAATGGAATATTATTCATCAATCAAAAAAGATAAACTCATGCCATTCACAGCAACATGGATGCAGCTAGAAGGAATTATGCTCAGTGAAATAAGCCAGAAGGAAAAAAAAAATATTGGATGGTTTCACTTATAGCAGGAATATATGGGAACCAAATAAGACATCAGAGTAAAAAATAATAACAGTACAAAACACAGCTAGCAAAAACAGACAATTATAAATCAGAGACATCCTGCGGGGGGAGGAGGTGGGAGAGGAATCAGAGGGAGGGAGGAGCACAGAGGACTGAGGTGATGGTGCACAGGTGCCTTGGGGAAGGAAATTCCATGGGGACTACACCAGAGGGGGTGGGAGAAGCAAATATTGTTTAAAAATGAACAATGATGTAAAAAAAATTTAAATAATAATAAAATAAAATTTTAAAAAACAGCCTAAATAAATAAATAAATAAATAATAAATAATGTGGCCCTCAGAATTCTTGTAAAACAATCAGAAGTGATAAAAATAATTGTGCTTCAGATGAAGGACTGAAACACTAGTCTGAACACAGAGCATAGAGGAAGCTTCAGCTTGGCAATAACATCAGTGGTCTACATGCGGAGACTCAGAGCTGAAGAGTGGCTTTGGATCTAAGAATACTCTGAGGGTGTTGGCAAGAGGGGAAAGCAAGATACTGGAGGCAGAAAGGCAAGCCACAGGCTGCTTCAGCCAGCAAGGCTGAGAGGCTGGTGGCAGTAGGATGCAGAAACAATGATGGGGAAGTTGTTGGGTGGGGAATATTGACAAGACTTAGGGTCTGCCTGTATGTGGGAGGCACAGAAGGGGAAGGAGTTCAAGTGACAGTGTAAGACTTTCCAGATGGTTTCAGGAGCAGCTGAAAGGAACAACTTGACATAAATATTCTACTTTGAGATCAACCATGAAATAGGTCCTGACCCCTCCAGCCAAGTATTCAGAAGCCACTAGCGTGTCCTTTTGGAAAAAATCTATTCTGCATTGGTTCTTTCTAGAAGAGCTCTTGTTTTGCATTCATTTTGACTTTGCATTGGGGAAATTATAAAGTGAAAAACAATCTTCTTTTTATATTATATATGTAGCGATTGTTCCTATCACTTCTTCCCCTTTTTAGAAAGGGGATGACTTGGGCTTCCAATTTCCCATCTGAAAATTTGGATTAACAATCTCATTCTTGAAGAGCTGCTGACAGGCTTCCCTGAAATACAGTAGCCCAGCACACAGTGGGAAGAAGGAGGGTTTTTAAGTTTCTCTTCCAATCAGATGTGTTCTAGGAATTACTGGTGAGTAGCAAGACCATGGGTGGAAGTTTTGGGGAAACAGATAATGCCCCAGGCCAAAGACAAACCTCTGAGACCCAGAATTTTCAGGAGGTAAAATAACCACCTGGAAAGGCACCAAGCTCCTAGGCAATGTGGATTTTTTTTTAAGATTTCATTTATTTTTTTTCATTTATTTATTTTTTTAGAAGAACTGAGATGTAGACCAGAGGTGCAGGGTTGAGAGGATTCACCAGAGACAGAGTGGGGAGCAGAACAGGCAGATTGACTGAAATACACTGCTGAGGGGAGCAGCAGGTGAGACAGGAGAGGCCTACTGCACCATGTGGGTAGTTCCCTGGTAGTTCACAGCAGATGAGACTGCTGTGACTTAACCCCTAGGCCACCAGGGAAGCCCCCTAGCACTGAGGACTTTGTAGTTACCAAACAATGTGGCAAAAAGGAGACTTTCCATCATGCTCTGACACCCAGATGCTGGTCGCTTCTTTATAGGCTAGCCTGACTAGGGTTCCAGCTATTGTCTGTAACTCCATGTCTCTTACTTAGGAGGGCATAGCATACCTCCAGTTAATGAGAATGTTGATCATTAGGTATTTATAGTAATGGGTTAATATTTATTGACTATATGTGGTAGGCTGAGTACCTATGTTCTTGATACACATCTTCACAGTCAATGTGCCAGGAAAGACAGTGTGGTCAGGTTCATGACTAATTAGAAGTGGGTTCAGAGCAATGAATATCTGCCTATGAGTTCTCAGCTAGTACATGATAAAACTAGGAGGGTAGCACATGTTTGTGTGCTTCAGGCTTGTGTTTCTTGAAAAGGATTGGGGAGAAGGGAGGAAAGAGGGCAAGGTAGGGGGGAGGAAGAAAACATTCACAAATATTAGCAGAGCACTTTAAATATTATCACCCATAAATCACTCATGACACATATCACAGATAAAAACATAACATAGAGAAGTGCTTCTCCCCCTCTCATGTTTTTCCACAAAAGTGCTCCATCTGCTTCAGACAGTGACCATCTGCCCCTAGTGACCTGGGAGGTAGCCTGATGAAAATTTCTTACTTTATTCAGTAATGTGGCCAAATTTGCTTAATAAGCATGCCTCTGTGTTTTAGAGCAAAATGAATGTACGTAGAATGCATATCATCTTTATCTTTTGCCTTCATGTATCCCCTGGGAAAACCACTCCTCCCCCATGATAATATTCCAGTTTTAAAAGCACCATCAAAAAAACCCAAAAAACAACATACATTCATTGATCTAGAGGTAAATAAAATAACTCATAAGCTTAAAAAGAAAAGAAGATAATTGTACCAACAAATTAGCATTCCAGAGACTTACAAGACTTACAAGAAAACCATTGTTCACACATTCATGCAAATAGTATCTCAAGAGTTTTATTTAGGCTTTCACCCACTTAGTCTTTATGGACGGAACACTAATGGAATCCCTAGGGACTTCTGGTCTGGTCTACTCCCAATATTACCAGTTGCTCCGGTACTATTAAACAAACTCTTTGGATAATATGCCCAACATTCTTAGGAAAGCTATGTTCAATGCTCATAAAACTCCAACTCATTGTTACGTTGAGAATCAGGAGACATTGTCTGTCCATTGCCTCTGCACCTGTTATCTTACTGGCCTTATCCAAACAGCTCCAGCCTGAATAGCAGCTGAAATAACAGATGGGCAGGAGAACTTGAGATCTTTTTGACATTGCCCCTTTGTTTATGAAATCCCCCCTCCACACACACACTCTGGAATATGATAGGAATTCTCTTCATTATTGCTTTGTGTTTCTTCCCATGGCACTTTTTTATTATTAAAAAGGAAATAATTGTACAGAGGGAGATGAAAAGGAGGAATAACATCTGCCTTTGAAAATAGTCAAAACGGAAATGGGATTAGTGATTTGGACATGTGCAATTGACATAAATATGTCCTTGCTTTGGAGGATAATTGGCAATAGCCAGGTTCATTTGATGGTAGAATGAGCTCAAGTGGGGAGATGAGAGGGAATAAGTCAGAGGAGGAAAGTAATTGGTGTATGATTGAATGTGGAACTGCTTTAGGAGGTCCTAAAAGCACAGGAGAGAGCCAATTGAGGCAAGTTGGAAATTTGGTAGGAACCAGCATCTGGGATTGCAATTCCAGGATGAAACCATACTTTGTAAGAGATAAGACCTAAAATAGGGATCAAGGAAGCAGAATGTAGGATATTACTTAATAGCGTATAATTTTATGCAAGTTGCTTAACCTCTCTGTGCTTCAGATTCTCCATGGTAATATAAATATGAAAATATACTGGTACATGCATAGGGTTGTTTTCTTCTCCTTAAAGAGAAGATAAATGGAAAGTGTTTGTTCCCAGACCTGACATTCAGTAAACAGATGCTACTACTATCATTATTATAGTCAAGAGTGAGTGACATAAGGAGGAACAAGTAGCACAGAAAAAGAGAATCAATTTGGTCTATCAGAAAAGGGGCTGCCGGCATGTAATGGAGCGTATGCTCAGATCTCCAATGAGGCAATAAGCTCAAAAGTTACCAGAGAATCTGGCATGGCACTCTCCCACCTCTGTGTCTTTGCTTATCTCATATATTTTTCTTGGGTGACATTCTCCCAAGCACCTTCATGGTTTGCCACATGGCCATTCAATAATTAACTACCAAGGTTATTCTAAAGGTCAAAATAAAGATAAAATGTACCCAGGAATATACATGGTTATCTGTCAACGGATGTTAGTTATTACTACTGTACATTTTAGTGTCATTCATCATGCTTGGCAGAGTGCCTTAACTACAGTAGACTATGAAATTACTGGCTAATAACTATAGATGTAGTTTCAAATGAGCATGACTGAGAACTGGGGTCACTATAAGGGAAGATGGGAGTAGGAAGTGCAAAGGGAAGGGGGCCCCATAGACAGTGGTGCAGTTATAGGTGCTTTCTTGGTGGATGTGGTGTGACAGCCTACATTTCAAGAGGTGTGAACCTGTATCCCTCCAGTATAGATAGTGCTGAAAACCAACATTACTGCAATACAAATAAGCTTAAAAATGAGCAGGACTGATGGAGTGCACTCAGAGGGATCTATTGTCTTCTCTGTCCTTGTCTGCCCCCGGCATTGTGTCTGTAGAGCTCATAGTCTTCTTCATGTTTTTCAGGGATCTCACTCTCGGCAGTGTCTACCATTACCAAGTCATCACCATTGCGGGAAGTGAAGAGAGTGAGCCATCACCTGCTGCCATATACATCCATGGAAATGGGTACTGTGGCGATGGCATCATCCAAAAGTAAGTAGTTCTCACCAAAGAATGAAGAGGGCCAATGGTAACTGGACAGGGGTGGTCAGATTGCCACACTGAAGAGCTTAGGGGATAATCTTCAAGTGTGGACTGACTTACCAAGGATTCCAAACAGCTTATCAGTTGGTCTGCCAGCAATTCACTGACTTCTGAAGGAAAGCAATGATTGTGTTATGAATGCATACATTTCTCAAGTATGTATAGTAATATGTGATTTGGACAAAGTTACCATGATGCACTTGCTGCCATAATGCTTTTGTTCTTAATAGTTTTACAAGTAAGCTCAGGGTTCAATTAGTCTTTTCCATCACAGGCCACGTTCAGTTAATAGGACACAGTGTGTTTAGGTCAGAACACTTTTGTACATTCTTTGCTGGTTGCCACTTACATTTGTTAAAACTGTATATGTATTTGTGATCGTAACTGTATCATGCTCTATCAACAATTTACAAAATGGGTCCAAGTTACATAAAAATAGTAAAGTATTCTAACTCGCTATGATGTAGAAACCATAAGTAGTAAACAGTACTCGAGTAAATATTGAATGTGAATATGAGTACAGAGAAGCAAATGAACCAGTAAGTGTAAAGATTCCACATGAGCAGCCAAAAAAAAAAAAAGTGTGAACAGAAAATAGAAAGCTGAAAGTCTGAAAAAAAGGATTTTATTGAACTATCAGTCCATTCATTCCTTGTCCACAGGGCAGATGCAATGCAACTTCAAAGTAGGGGCAAGAAGCCATTGAGACTTCTGCATTACTAAAAAAAAAAAAAAAGAAAGAAAGAAAAAAAGAAAAGAAAAAGTAAACCTTGGAATTTTTTTTCCTTCTTCAGAATAAGCACAAAAATGTTTTCTGGCACACAATCAATTTGTTTGTCCCTAGATGTAAGGAAGAGGCCAACATTATTCACAGCTAAGGTTCTTATTGCCAAAATTATATTCCTTTTTGTAACATAGCTCCAAGTCACAGTACGGCCAAGAAACCACTGAAATTATTGTCAGGTTTAATGATAAACTTTACGTGTGGTGATGGCAAAACAAACAGTGGCCAAATCCCTCCATTAAGTGGCGTGGTTGGGTGTCAGACCATATCTGACAAACACCAGGGCTGGGCCTGCAAGGGGCAGAGCAATGTAAGGAGTATTTGTTTGACAGTTGGATGAAACCATGTATGCCCAGAACAGGAATCAGCCCACCGGTATGGTGCAGATGTGAAAGAGAAGGGCTTTGTGACTATTCTTCTCTGCTTCTTGTGTACACTGGTTCTGGAGAAGAAGAGCAGGGTCATGTGATAGTGATGACTCTGTGGTATGGAATGTCCTCTGGCCACCTGTACTTCGGGATGAAAGCAGAACACATTCAAGGATGGCACAGTCAGGCAAGTGAGATCAGCTTGCTCCTAGACTTGCATGCACTGGGACATCTGCGTGGACCCCCAGTGTGCTTTCTGATCCTGGCTTAGCGCTGGAGAAAACTGTGAATGCTGTCAATGCAATCAGCTGAGGACTGCTGGGTTACATTATTTCAAATGGCTGTGCAAAAAGATAGTAGTGTGTTGAAGATTCTGCTCCTCTCCACACACACACACTCAAGTCTGCCTGCTGTTAAAAGAAAGCATCCATTCATGTTTTTGAGTTAGGGATTTGCACTGCATTTAATGTCAATGCTGATAAGGCCAGTGATGATTATTGCACAAGCTCAGTGGCCTGCTGAAATGATGTATCTCAGGGATTCTTATCTTAAATGTCCTGTATCTATAATTTCAATCCATATTGGCAATGTTAATATTGAGGGAATAACATTAAGATTTTTCAGTGTTCAGTTTTGGTGCAGACCACCTGATAGCAAAGAATTTGACTCCCAAACATAGAAGTTAATGTTCCTCACTGGTCAGGAAATGAAAGGGATGTTGTGCTGTTGTGTGTATTTAAGACCTGCCTCCTAAAGTAGCAGCCAGACATGGAGACACGCCTTCCAGTGCCTCATGCAACAGAATCAAGCAAAGAGAGAAGCCTTTCTCTTATCTCCCACATTAAGACATCAACTTCTAGCTTCAGATGCCGCTAGCATCTGATGGAACATGGAGCAAGAGAACAAGGCGATCTCCAGGGAGAGTGCCCCCTCATTTGTGGGTCCATGATTGAGTTGAACATCAGAACATCCAGGAAATACTTGCGGTAATCCCTGACAACCCATAATTGTGATCTGGGACTTTCTAATTTAGCACAAAGAATAAAGGAAGAAATTCGCTAGATGTGGAACCTGATCTACAACCCACTGGATCCATCTCAGGGCCAGATACAGATGCATTGGCAAAACTGCCAACAGTCATTCTCCTCACTGATCTACAACCATTACCATCATCAGCATCATTGTCATTCCTTTTAAATAGCATTCTTTAAAATGTTGTTTCTACTGTATTTGACCAGCTCTGGTGTCCTGCATGGACATCAAATACTCATGGAGCTACCTTTAAATACCATATATTTATTGACTGTTCTGTAGAACAAATGAAGCTTATGAATGGTTCCCTAAACAAAGAAAGAAAAAAAAAAAAAACTACATTGAGGAAAAGAAGGCACAACCTCTCAGCTAATTGGATTTGCAATGGGCTGATAATACAGACTTTAATTTACTATGTATGTAAGAGAATTTACAAAGAAATGCTCACTACTTAATACTCAACAAGATCCCTGAGGGATGAGCCTTCAGCCATAAATAATTCACAATAGCAGATACTCCCAGTGTCTTCTTAGGATATTGATAATAATGTTTTTAGCTATTTTTGAGCCTCAAATGTGCCTCAGTCACTGGGCATCAGGATTATCTCCTTCCAATCTATGAGGTAGGTCCTGAAAGAGTCAAGAGGTACAGAAAGATTAAGGTGTTTTTCACCAGCTCACACACCCAGCAAGGAGCAAGACCAAGACCTGCACCAGGGCCCATGTCTCACCTGGAGTCATCCTTTGCTCACTGTGCTTCTGCAAAGCCACTCGTGAAGGAGCGGCTGCATGCTGTCTGTGCCACCCCAGGAGCACTGCCAGGCACTGGGGTACTCAGATGGCAGCCCTGTCACTTCCTGGGGCATCTTAAAGCCCAGGCTGGGAGTTCCCAAGTCATTGGCACAAGTAGTCCATTTGACAAGTACTGCGAAGATGCGGACACAGAGAAGACGGCCTCCCACTCCAGCCTAGGAGGTCAAAGGAGGTTTCTCAGAACCCCTCTCTCCAATGATAGATCTGTCATTCCTAGAAGATATTTGTGGTGACCCTAATGTTTTGCTTAAACCAATAGAACATACTGTTTGGGTGGTGAGGGAAAGTGGGTTAGAAGTGTTCTTTGTGGTTTAGGGAAACCAGCCCAGGTTGAAAAAAAAAAAAAAAAAAAAAAAACTCTCCCCAGATAACCCATGGACTAGCTGAGCAGCACAAGGCCATCGCCAGTGTTCAGCCTCTGGCTTCACTAGCAGAGATTGCCAGGCCCAGCCCAGAGAATGTGTTTCTTCTTTGCTGATGGGTTTGTAGACAGAGAGAACTTGGGTGGCTCTCCTGAGAGCAATGCAATGTCCCGGCCATTTCAGGATTGATTGTAAGACGCTGTCCTGTTACTCTGACACCTCATAAGAGCAACAAACATTTCCCAGTGTTAATTGCTTGGGCAAAAGGAAAAGTCTGAGACCTCTTCCATGCTGTGACCCATCCCAGCTGGTCTCTAGAGAGGGAGGGACAGCTGTCTCACCCCCTGTGGAGACCTCCCAGAACTAAGTGGGGACAGGGACTGTCCTTTTGTGAGTTCCTACTATGTGCCTCTGTCACTTTAACATTCCATTCTTGCACCAATTCTAAGTAGGCAGAAGAACCCTGTTTTAACATGTGAGAAAATTGAGGTTCCCATTATCCAAAGGATTTTTTTCTGCAATGCTAGAAATGTCTTCTGTGCTGTCCAGTGTAGTGGTCACAAGCTACATCTGGCTCCTGAGTGCCTGAAATGTGTGACTCAGGAATGAAACATTTAATTATACTTAATTTTAATTGAGATAAATAGTCAAAGGTAGAAAGGTCAGATAGACAAATTAAGTGACGTGTCTAAGATCTCACAGAGAGTTAGGGACATGGTGCCTTAAACCAATTTTTTCTTTTCTAAAAGGCTGGAATTTCCAGAAAACAGCAACCCATTCATTCTTTCCATTCTTATTATAAGTTTTCTTCCTCTTGGTCCAATTCAGAGAACATTGCTCGTCTTCTACTCATCCTAATCTCCGCAAAATAATCCTCAAGTGATGGAAATACTTTAAGGAAGCAAAGGGAGGCATTTTTATTTCCTAGTCTTTGCAGAATCCTTAGGTGATGGAAATAATTTAAGGAAGCAAAGGGAGGCAGCATCATTCCACAGGCTCTGGAGTTCTTGACACCATGAACAACCCACTGGGACAAACCCAATGGAAAAAAAAAAAGCTTTGATTTAAGAAGGGCTAAACCTGAGCATGTGAATAGAAGAAATCTTTGCTTTTAAGTGTGTTTGGTGAGAGGCGGAGGGCTGAAGCAGGACATAGTGAAGTGAAGAACATCATTTATGTTTTCGGGACGCTAGTATTTCCTTCATTGCTGAACAACCATGAGGTTTCCCAGACACAGTGCTAGGAGGACTGCTCAGGAGTTCATCCATTTCTTACTCCGCCTGACTCACCCCTTAACTGCCAACATCTCAGAGAATGAGTTTGAAGTGGGAATTTGACTTTGTCATCAGAAAAACAAAATAAGGTAAATGTAACCAGATCTTAAAAATCCACACCATTTACACAACTCATTTCGAAGACGAAGACACAGCTCCATGCAGGGAAAGGACTTTCCCCAGGTCCCCCAATAGTGCAGGACCCATCCAGGGCCTATCCCATATCCTGCCACTCTTCTGAAGCCCATCTGACAGGTTTTCCTCCTGTATCCTTTATGCAGAAGCCAAGGTGAAGAATGCGATGACATGAATAAGATCAATGGTGATGGCTGCTCCCTTTTCTGCAGACAGGAAGTTTCCTTCAATTGCATTGGTAAGTCTCTGTCCTTTGTCTGGGTTTCCTTGGTGAAATGGACAGTGCAGAATAATTAGTTACAAGAACAGCAATGGTGACAACTAAGTCATCCTTTACTCTTTTGTATTACAAACAGCTATTGAGCGCCTCCAGTGGGCCAGGCACAGTTTTAGGTACCAGAGAACACAGAAACATTGGAGGGGAGGGCAGTAACAAAGACAGTTATCCCTGCCCCCAGGGAGGAGCTTATATTCTCATAGCCCATGGCAAAAGACCGCAGTCACACCTTTGGACCTAATCTTGTCTTATAGACATTATCACTCTTCTTCATGCCAACTGTCCAGGAAGGTTAGCCTGTCAATTTTAAGGCTTTTATTCTTCCTTTAGAGATGAGAAAAATCAAAAACCAGTGATGTTATAAAACTTGCCCAGAGTCACGCAGGTTAGAAGGGACTGAAGACAGAACCAGGACTTGAACCTGATTTTATCTGATTCTCAAGCTCACTTGTTCAGGTCATTTTGCTACACATGTTCTTGCCAGGACCCAAAACCCAGGCTCTGCATACGCAGGGCCTGGGCCAGTGTCTCTGGCTTGAGGGAGGTGGGATCCCAGACCAGTTTGTGTTCAGAAAGCAAACTTCTTTTTCCCACCTTTACTGAGTCAGATGGGAAATTTGTTTTCCACTGCCCTCTCTGGGAGTCTGGTTGATCTTGTTGTTTCAGCCCCACTTGGGAGGCCCTCACCAGCCTGGAGCTGGTAAACAGACAGGGCTTGGGAGGCAGGGATGGAATTTTGAGCTGGCCCCGATGAGCTCATGCTTCCTTTAAGATGCAAATCGATACCTGAAGATCAAAGGTCCCCCAGCTAATCCCCTGGGCTGGAGGTGAAAACTAATCACAATTCATTTGCAAGTACAAAAGACAGAGGTGCTCCTTCTGAAGAGGGGAGAGGGCAGGGGAGATGAAAACCTTGGTGGGAAGATTTCTCACTGAAAGGCAGCTTTCCAGCACTGAAGGGAGGAAATGTCATCAGTTCCTCACATTTGCAGTGAATGACAGGGTGTGCTTAGACCTTCCTCTGTCAGTGGGTTGTGAGTTTTATGAGGATAAAGGCCTTGTATCAGTCTCTGCACACATTTATTGAGCACCTACTAGCTTCTTGGCACCAAGTGGGGGCTGAGTAGGAGCAATACAGCAGAAGTGTCACACACCTGCGTCCAGAGGATGGAAGGAGCAGAGAGGGGATGAGGGCAGGTGCATTTGCAGCCAGGTTTTCAGGGTTTTAATTGGCAAAAGAGAGGGTTGTTTGTTTGTTTTTTTCTCTGTGTTGATTTGAGTCTGATGCATGGTAAGAGCTTGATATTAGATGAGTGTTTGGGCAGAAAAAGCCTTGGACTGAACTGAAGAAAACTGGGCTCTGGTTCAGGCTGTCTGAGAACTTGCTACCTAAACCTGGCCAAGTTGCCTCCCTTGCCTGGGCCTCAGTTTACCTCCTGTAGATTGAAAGAATTGTGTTAGGTGGTCTCCAAGTCTTTCCCACCCCTCTCTTATGTGTATGACTACATTTCATACCATGAGCTCTGCCTGAACCAAACCCATACCTTTGCCATCATCCTCAGTGTTGTGGTTTTTTTGGAGTCTGTGGGTTTGGAGTGCGGGGTCCTTGGGTTCACTCTGGGAAAGGGTTCACCAGACCTCCTATTTCAGCGACACGTGGCGAGTTTCTCAGGCAAGTTTCTCCATGAGACAGAGACATTAGTTATATTTAAAGGGCAGGTTTATTAGGGAAGTGATAAAACAGTTAAAGACACTTGCATGGACACAAGTGGGCAGGAAGAGCTGCCCCAAAGGGACAGGTTTGCTAAGAGAGGCCTTCATGGTTGCAGATGGGCGGCCTTGACAGGTCACGGGCAGGCAGGAAGTCTGCTGCCCTACAGAGGAGAGAGTTGGTGAAAAGAAGCACCTGCATAGTCACAGGTGGGCAGACAGGGCCTGTGCAGAGACTGAGCTGATTTAGTCTTCTTCTGTTTGGGAGGGATCACTCCTTGTGAGCCTTCAGTTAGTTGCTGATTTTGGATAACTGCAGAATCTGAAAAGGACTGGAGATTCCACTATGGGCTTAATCTCAGTATCTTTACCTTTGGGATCTGTTGGGCCTAATCTCCATGTCATTACACTTGGGCCTAGACAGCAGTCTGATACCTGCTTGGATTTTATGCTTTGTAGTCTAGGTGTCCGAGCCTAAGGATACTAGTTTCTGCAACTGTGTTGTTTTTGCCTAAAGATCTTGGTTTCCATAGCTGTGTCAATGGCTGTTCTAATCTCTTCTACCCCCACTTCCTTGTGAGCCAGGTTTCTGGTCTTGTGGCACACCTCCTTTTCAGTTCTTTTTTCTATTCTTGTCCTCCATCACTCAGAACCCCCCAACATTACTCCCAGATCATGCTGAAAATATCTACCTTTTTTATTCCCCTAAAGTGGCATATAACTGAAGCGCTTCTGGGAAGAAGGTAGGATGTGGTGAAAATAGGATGTGGTAGCGTCAAGATGATTGGAACTTGACTTCCATGTTCTCTGTGGCTTTAGCGCTGATAATAAGCAAAAATCAGGTAGAAGAGCATAATCCATGAAGGGGTCTGCATACTCTGGCCTGTGGGTCAGAACTGGCCTAGTGCCCAGTTTGTCAATTCTCTACTGGACGACCCTTTGCACAGTTCCATAGCCACTTTCATGCTATAAACAGAGAGAAGTGGCTGCAAAAAGACCTTATGTTTCAAAGAATCTTAAGTTATTTACTTTCTGGCCCTTTACAGACATTTGTCGAGCCCTGGTTCATAGTTTTCCGGTCTTTGATATTCTTGGCTCTTGGAGCCAGCAGAGCAGAGGTGAATATTAGGATATGGTTCACCATTTCTTAGAGGCAGAACTGAATTGTAAGCATATAGTGGTAGGAGCTGGCAGTCTTTGTTAAAAAGGCACTGACTGGCCAGTCCAGCCCTAGCTTACCTCGCCTCCCTGGGCCTTCTATGCTTCAACCGAAGTGACTGTCTTAGACTAGACCAGCTATTTTCCAAAGGCATTAATAGAGGTCTTAAGAAGGAGGGAGTGGGGCCTCCCTGGTGGTGCAGGCTGCTGAGTGCAGCGCTGTGATGCTGTCCGCAGCCTCCGCAGTGCCAGTTCGATCCCCACCAGCCTTGGAGCTACTCACATGGTGAGCAGACCTCTCCTATCTCCCCCACTGCTCCCCTCAGCAGTGTATTTCTGCCTGATCTGTTCCCTGATGTCTCTGGTAAATCCTCTCACCCTCCCGTGCGTCTGGCCTGTACCCTGGTTCTTGTATGTATAAATAAATAAATAAATAAATAAATAAATAAATAAATAAATAAACAAGCAAACAAACAAATAAATAAATAAATAAATCTTAAATAAAATAAATCTTTAAAAAAAAAAAAAGAGAAGGAGTGAAGATGAGGGAGCTACCAAGCAGATGAGACATGGACCTGCCTGGAACCTCTTTGTATACTGGTACTTGCTACTAGATACTAAGTATTCTTCTGCTGGTGATATTTATTGAGCACCTAATATCTTCAGAGCACATTTGTAAGCATCCATTCTCACACAAGTCTTTAATTGCCCTGCTTTCACAAAAGAGAAAATTGAGGTTTGGGGGAGGTGAGCTATGTAAGTGGGGGAGCTCAGACTGAAACCCAGAAAGTCTGACTCCACTCATAGTGGTAAATAAGCTGCCTGTGGGATCAGGTTGGGGTGAAATAGCCCTTGGTCTTAGAAAACTTACCAGTACAGTTTAGCTCATGTAACAAATGAATGGAATGAAATGCCATGCTCTGTCTGTGTGAACAAATGAATATTGTATATTGACTATGGTTTTATTGGCGGAAGCATCTCTGCTTTGCCCTCTACCTCAGCTGTAGAGACTCACAGAGACATGGGGCATTCCAGGAAGAAAGGAGTCTGTCCAGAGGCCCCAGCTCCTGGGAACAGCATGAACTTAAGTCTAGAAACAAATCTTCATAAAAAGAACAGCTGAAGAATAGACAGCAGTTCTAGCCTTAATGAATCAGAGAAATGGGATTGGACTGTGGGGAGCTTTGCTGAGCTGAACATTGTCCTCATCATTACATTTGTCAAGACAGTGGTCAAGAGAGGGGCCAAGAGAATAGGCTTGAGTAAAAATGACTTGGGTTCTTATCATAGCTTAGATGTGTGACTTTGACCAAACTTCAGCGTTCTCATCCAGAAAATGATGAATGCCTTGTGGGATGACTCCATTGTGGGAGATATTACCAATATATTTGGATACTTATAATCTGACTCCCCTAGATTTAGGAAATGATTGTCCTTGTCATGATATGAATGAGGCAGAGCCCCACCCCAATTATGGAAGTTGAAATATAAGCATCTATCTCCCAGTCCCCCTTGTAGCTGAGTGTGGGCATACGATCTATGTGCTCCCTCTGTCCCCCAGTCAGACACACCAACCCATCACTCACTCAGAAGCCATTTTGACCGGAATGGTGGGAGTATCTACATTCCAAATATGTCCAAAGTACTAATGACAGAGGTAGCATTAGTGCTGAAGTGACTGTGAGCTGCAGTAGTTCTTAGGTGCCCTCAGAAGACCTGTCCTAGGGACTCATCTTGGACTTGGGATTGGACTTAGAACATGTAAGCCAGGCTGTCTGGCCCTGTCAGAGAGTCTTCCAGAAGTATCCAAGAGTCTTTGAATGGATATTGTTTGTTTGCTTGTTTGCCTTAGTTAGCCAAAGTTGGTTTCTGTTGATTGCCACTTAGAATCTGGACTGAAAATGATTGTCATGAGATACTATGAGGTTTACCCCCTGTGCCTAGCGAGATGGATGTGTGTGGTGCCCACTGACCGTCGCTTCCCTTAGTGGGTATCTGTTTGTAGTGAGGAGGGGCAGGGATAGCAGCAGCAACCACCATTTTATGACTGCCCATGCAGGTGGATGCCTTGTGTCATCATCACCTTTGTTCAA